GGTCTAAAGATCAGAGTCGGTAGGAAATGGAGAAAGGAGCAGGTGGGCTACAGGAAGGCCCCCAGGCCCAGTGCCATTTGCCCTGACGCCCCTCTGGCCCCCAGGAGTTCTGTTACGAGATCAAGCACGGAGATCTGGCCAAGAAGACCCTGGAGGTCACTGTCTGGGATTACGACATTGGGAAATCCAACGACTTCATTGGTAAGAGGGCGTACTGGTTATCTGCGTGGCCTTCCGGAGTCCCGTTGAAGGTAGTGGCCCCAGGTCAGACCAGAGTCCCATGCGCCACCCCCAGCCCCACCTTCCTGGCCTCTGGGGAGAGCCAGGCCAAAGACCACCCTCAAGCAGTGAGGGGCTTCAGAATTGTCCAGCCTGACCCCATGTGACAAAACAGACTGCGGTGGACTAGACGAGGGTGGGCGGGAAGGGGCACTGCGCAGGGCCACACAGAGGGATATAGGGGACCAGGGTTGAGAGGCCATACTGGCCGGTGCCTGGGGCAGCTGGACCACTGGCTCCATGACGAACCCCTGTGGCCTCGAGTCCCTAGTGCTCCAGGGGGCTGAGCACGTGCACCCTGCTGAGCCCAGACTTGGCGGAACATGCAGGGCAGACTGGCCATCAGACTTGTAGCCTGGGAGGGGGGTGGGGGGCACAAGGTCCAGCTGATCCCAGAGGACCCCTCCCCTGCAGGCGGTGTGGTCCTGGGCATCAACGCCAAGGGCGAGCGGCTGAAGCACTGGTTTGACTGCTTAAAGAACAAGGACAAGCGCATCGAGCGCTGGCACACGCTGACCAACGAATTGCCGGGGGCCATGCTCAGCGACTGACCACCCGCCTGCTCATCCCGGGCCTCGCGGGCCTGGACCTGCTCGTCCTCAGCTACCACCCAAGGCCAAGCCCCCCTAGGCTGGAGGAGGTCCCAGTTCCCGCTCAGACACAGAGCCGCTTCAGCCCCTGCGTGGAAGTCCTGGAGGGCCCGGCTGCTCCAAGGTGGGCCAGAGGCCAGGCCCTGGGACCCGAGAGGACCAGTGGTGGGCCAGGGGACCATGGGCTCAGCACCCACCCAGAGCAGCTAGGACCCTTGGAAGATGGGCAGCAAGTCAAGGGAGGGCACCCTGGGGTGGGGGGCAGGGACAGACCAGACTCACACAGAGCCGAAGGAAGATCTGATGAGCCCGGTGATGTCTGCCATTCCTGGGCCAGCAGGGAAAAGCTGGCCAGGAGACAAGGGGGCTTCCGGAAAGCTCCCAGAGACCGTGGGCAAGTGGACAAAGGCATTCCTCACTGACCCTGCCTGCTTCCAGGGGTGAATGATACACAGGGCTGCCCTCAGGGAGCTGGGAACCAGACCCCACAAGCTCAGGTGGAAGTGCTGTGGGCACCACTGACCCTGCCTGGGGTCCTGGAAGGCTTCCTCGAGGAGGTTATATTCCAGCAAGGCCTCGAAGGAGAATGGGGGTCCCAGCTTCAGTCAGGATGGTCCACAAACCTGGAGGGGGGGGGGATAGACTCAGATCAAGGTAGCCCTTCCAATTCTACCTCCTTTGTGCATGGG